ATTTTTGTCATTGATCATGGATTTCAAATCGATTGGATTTGATCGATTGATTGATGACAATGAATGATGAATGAATGATGATTTTGCAGAAAAAATCTTTTACGTTTTACTTTTTGCTCTTCAAGGATAACTCTGAAATAAAATTCAACATTTTTTTATTTATTAATTCAAAGTTTTTGTTTTTGGTTTTTGATTTCTTCAACGCTGGAAAAAAAATGAAATTTTGTTGTTTTTTTTTCTGCAAATAAAATGAAAAGAAGATTCTGCCAGCCAAATGGCAAGGGGAAAGAGGAAAGAATTAAATTTTATTAGCATCATAAAAAAAGAAATCATTTGCTACTGAATAAACTGCTCAGTTCTGCCATCATCAAAGTGAATAAAATTTGTTTTTTTCTTGCTTTTTCGTTTCTTTTCATTTGCCATCACCAATGATGATAATGATGATGATGGCTCCCAGATCATTAAACACAAACAAACAAACAAATATTTCAATTCATTTGGTTTTGCGTATCAAAAAACATTACTTGTTGAACTTACTAAACACGCAAGGAAATTGAATTTGATTTTGATTTTTTCGAAGTTTTCCCGTTGTATCAATTTACTTGATTTTTTTTGCAAGTTGATTGATTGAATTACTTGTTTGTAATCAATTTTTTTTTTATTAAATTAAATTAAATTTAGTTCATTTTAACTAAATTGATGATGAAAATGTTGATAATCGGTATGATGATGATGATTGAATCAAAATTCATCAAAGTTAATAGAATAAATTAGGAACAAAGCTGATTGACCGCTGTCGCCCGATTATATTCCTTATTTGGTAAACAGTAACTAAGACGATCAATTTCAACAAAAAAAAAAAGTTGATAAAAAAGTTTGTCGATGTTGTCGATGATTTTAGATGGACAAGCCGCGTCGGCGGCAACTTGTTTTTTGTCAAAATCTGTCTATCTTTTTGTGTTCTGTCTATGGTAGAGAAGAACATCTTCGTAATTCTTGAATCTGAGTTCAAGTTTTTTTTTTGTTGTTGATAATTTTTTGGCGTCAAAAAGTCGAAGCTTGTTGTTGTTGTTGTTGCTTTTTTGTTGAAGATTTTCAAAGCTTGTTTTGTAATTTTAGTGTTTTTTATAATGATCATCACAGACCAATCATAGTAATTATAATGATGTTGATGATAACTGAACTAAACTAAATTAAACTAAAGTAAAGTCGGCAAAAAAAAAACTACAGAAGATTATTCCAGCCAGAAGCTATAATAATAATAATAATAAAACTTTGATGATAATCAAATAGTGGATAAAGTTGTCAAATAATAATAATCGATTGTCGGTGAATTTACCCGACAATCGATTATTATTATTTCAATAATCGTTCATCCATCCATCCATTTCATATTATAAAAAACATTATGATTATGATTATTATTTGATTGATTGTATGACATTTATAAATAAAAAAAAAATATTAATTATAAATGGGTGCAAATGGGAAAATGATTTAAAATGATGAATAAAATGATGAATAAAATGATGAATAAAGATATGCTCATTTTTCAAGGTGTGCGTTTCGTTTGTCAATCAAAACATATATGTTTAGTTAGTTTAGTTAGAAAAAAATCCATAAATTATTAGCTAATAATTTGTCATTTGTCAAAAGTATTTTCAATATTTACAAACATCGTATAAGATTTCCTTCAATTTCCTTTCATATATGAATGAATTGATGATGTTATCAATGAATCGTTTAAAAAAATGAATGATAATCATTCATTTCATTTCAATCAATTTTGATTAATTTGATTTTTTTTGTTGAAAAAAATCGATTTGAAAACGATTTGATTTCAGGTGGATTGCAAAAGGTGCACCTAAACCAAAAACAACAACAACAACAACAGAATCAATGAAAGAGTTGAGTTTGTTTGTTTGTTGTTGTTGTTGAAATGCAGATTATATCGATGATGATAATGACGTATTTTTTTTGTGGAAATCCTTGAATCTTGAAATTCAGAAAAAAAAATTTGAATTTTTTTTGTTTTCCTACCAAAATAGAATCAGGTGAATGTCGTTTTATTTTTCCAAAGAAAAAAAACATTAAATCAAGCGTAAAAAATAAAATGAAATGAAATGAAATTCATTGATAAGATAAGCATAATTGAATTAATTAACTAACTAAAAAATCTTAATGAACAATTTTTTCGTTGTTGAAATTAATTAATTTTCCTTATTTTGCTAATGATGTTTTTTTTCTGTTTGAAATCATCATCATCATTTCGTAATAAGGATATCTAAATTCAAAAGAAACAACTTGTTCGAACAATCGATTCGAACAATCGATTCTAACAATCGATTCTAACAATCGATTCTTGATACAATTTTCATTTCTCCCGATTCGAATGTTTGTTGTTTTTTTCTGGCATTTTTTCAATGTCTTTTCTTCTATCAAAAACACCCAAAAAAAAAAATTAGGACAAACATTTTATTATCATTTCCAGAAATGAAAATCAATTGGGTGTTTTGTTTGAATGTAAATAAACGAAAACGAAAATTGAAAGTATAAAAAGAAAATGTTTCAAATTCCTTTATTGTTTTTGGAGTTTTTTTTTCGTGCTGTGAAAAAAACTGAACTGAAGAAAACTGAAGAAACAAAAAAAAGCAATAAAATCATCATAAAGAATTAAGAAGAAGAAGAACCTTACATAACGCGACTGGTAACGAAATTGGAGCAAAACATACGAACTAACGAACAACAACAATAAAACACTTTCACTTTGGAAAAATTTGGATAAACTTTTTTTTTCCTGTCAAACAGAATGACATAAATGTTGTTGTTGTTGTTTTTACGGCTTTTTCTTTTTGTTGAAAATCTTCTTTTGATGGGGGGAAGTTGAAGGGGTTAAATGTTTTTTTTTGTAACATTGTTACGCAATTTAAATTTGAAAAATTTTAAATTTTCACCAGTTTTGGGTAATCAGAGTTAAAAAAGGTCCCTGACCGAAACCTACTACAGGGTTATAAAAATTCTGTATTGCACCAAATATGTAAGACCGCACTCGATGAATATCACTATTTAGACCAATATATGGTTATGTATGATTTTGATCTAGATCAGATGTCCACACAATGACATAACCGAACTAGTTTTTTTTGTTGTTTTGATTGATTTTAACAAGACACGAGGACACTTTCTCTCTCTCTCTCTCTCTCTTTGGGTCCGGTCATAAAAAAATTAAGATTTTGACCTCGATCGATTCGAAGAAAACGAACCAAGTGAAAAAACATCGTGAAAATCAATGACCGATCGATCGATCGATTGATGATAACTGGTGGTGGTGGTGTAGCTTTTCCCTCTGTGTTGTTGTTGTTGGTTGTTTTTCCTTGTTTTGGTTGTTTTGGTTGTTTTTAGATGTTTGACCATTGCGATCTAAACAAACCATAAAGCAATTTATTATTTTCGTTCTAGTTTTAAAGGTGCCATAAATATTTATTTATTCATCAAAATAGTGACCAGACACACCAGTATGAAACAAACAAACAAACAAACCTCGTTTATTATGATTATTATTATTATTACGTAAACGATGATGATGATGATGATGATGATCAATAAAATGATATTTTTTGAATGTTTTTTGTGAAGAAAAAAATACTGTGAAATTTTCAAATGACAGTTACAGCTATTTACATTTGCTGTTTTTGTTGTTTTTGTTTTTATTGTGAAAACAAATTGATTAGTGATTCGAATTTGAATTCGATCGGTTTGTTCTGTTTGTTTATTCAAATGTCTGGCTTTGTTTTTCTCCGGATTAGGATTTTTGTTTATGTTGAATGAATTTTCATTTTGGAATTCTAAATCTTCTTCTTCTTTAAGAGAGAATCTTTACCAGAAACATAAATTTCACAAACAAACAAACAAACGGAAAAAGTTCCCCGAAAACACACATAAAACACACTGATATATTCGTCATTATAGGCCTAAAAATTGCTTTTCAGTTTATTTCGAAACAGCAGTATTTGAAACAAAACGAAACAAAAAAAAGAAAAGTAAATTTCGAGTTTGCGCACAACATTCATTATTCAGGCTTCGGGTGTCTTAATTCTCTCCAATATTTATCAATTGAAAACAAGTAGACAAAAAATCATTCGCAATGGGGAAATATGATGATGTTTAAAATGTTTAGCCAAAAGAAGAAAATCAAAATTAATCATTTAGTTTTTTTCGGTGCAAATTTTATTAAAATTTTACCGAAAAAGATTACCAAAAAAAAAGAAGTTTTTTCAATGATTCTGAATACAGGATCTCGAATGCGAATTGAATGATAATAATCTTGTGAGGCGAAAATTTTTTTCATTCGAAATCAAAATTTCCAAAAATCAAAAAATAAAAAAATTCAGGTATACCTATGATAATGTTATCTATGTATCTTTCGTTTTCTTTTTTCAAACGTTCTATCTTTGTAGTTTTTTTGGGGTAACTTTTAATAATCTGCCATAGATTTTCAATGGCCTCCAATTCTGTGTTTGTCATCATCATCATTTTTAGCTTTTTTTTTGATCTCGGTTGGTTGATTTGTACAGTCGGTCGGTCGGTTGTTCGGTCGTAAAGATAAGCTAAAAGCTAAAACAAGAATGAAACTATGCAAAGAATATGATGATGATCATCATATAAAAAAAGTGATCATTATCATCATTGTCGTCGTTGGTTGGTTGGTTGGTTCGTTTGTT